GGGTTATCAACAAGAACCTGATCTGAAAACACGTGTATGTGTTAAGAAGGGGAGATAGAGGGTTATCAAAAGGAACCTGATCTGAAAACACGCAAATGCCACAGGGAGATTGTTATGAAAGGGAGAAAAAGGGTTATCAATAGGAACCTGATCTGAAAACACGCAGATGTCATAGGAAGATTGTTAAGAAGGGGAGATGGAGATATATTAATAGGGACCTTATCTGAAAACACGCAGATGCCATGGGGAGATTGTTAAGAAGGGTAGAAAGAGGGTTATGAATAAGAACCTCATTCGGTAGAAACGTTGTGCATAAGAAACCACCACACATCAGTGCACAAAAGACATCGAGACGGGCGTTGATGTAGCACGTTCACAGGTATCCTTACAACAAAATTATCGACAGAGAGCAGCAAGCATGGAACTAAATCCCCCATGATCATGCACTTAAACTTGACAACGGTGTTTCAGACGCACGTTTGTATTGGAGCACACGCCAATGTACGTTTGTACTGATTGTCACGTGTCATGGAATTCTCGTGCGGATGTATGTGTCTTTTGATACAGTAAATGATTAGGACATAACATATGTGCCATTACGACACAACTGTTGCGGCAATACAAAAAAAAACAGGCTATACAGAGAACACAACTGATTGAACTCACAGCAATCCTTAACTACAAGCGAAACACATACGCTACACACAGGAGTAACGCCGAATGTAATGGGTGCAGACCCTAAACCCTAGCACCGATAGAATGGTGTAGTGTAGTGCTATTGATTTGTACGGCGAGGTTTCAGGACCATAGTCCCGTCTTTCAAACACCCACACAGCCTACAGTGAAATCAGTCACGCGTGGAGCTTGGACGATTACTTGCTGCGTAGCACAGAGCGGTTTACAACTGCTCGAAACACCCACACAGCCTACAGTGAAATCAGTCACGCGTGGAGCTTGGACGATTACTTGCTGCGTAGCACAGAGCGGTTTACAACTGCTCGAAGAGCCAGCAACTAGCTATCTAGCAAAGACAAGCACTGTACGCGGGAGACAGATCGACAAAACTTGCAAGGCGAATGAGGAAGAGGAGAGCGAGGGGGGGGGGGGCTTTTCTATATACCACGGGGCAATTAGACGTGCCAGACGGCTTTACCACACCCTGTCTTGCGGACGGATGAGTCACGCTCTACTACTACATACATGGGCTTTCGCAAGTAGGTAGCGACAGGCTGGGTGTCTCAGGCAGTCACTGTGCGCGTCCAGCAGATGGATCACCTGCGAGTACTGCGCCGTCTCCAGGTACAGATGCGCCAGCCAGTACAAATCGTCCCAGTCCCCTGATGGTGTAAGTGAGACCCAAGTGTGGGTATAGGATTAAGGGCTGGTGCAGGTGGGTGTGGTGGCTAGGGTGCGGGGTTAGGGTTTGGTGCGTTTGGGTTGGTGGTAGTGAAGATCGATAGTAGTCAAGTAATATTGTTTCATGGTCGAACCATAACAGCACTGGGTTGGCATTCATGCCATAATAACAGGCTAAACCAACCATAAAATATAAACAGAGTATTGGACGATGATGTGAAACTGGGAGATGAGGCTCTTTTGTAAGCTGTGGTGACATACCACAGGGGCGTGATGTGTGAGAGGTGAATGCAGGTGTGGGCGACTGATCCAGCAATGGACCAGCTGACAGGTGTGTCCCAAGTGACACTTGGGGGAAGGAAGGGTTGGAATACGGACACCACACCAGTGTTTGGGCAGAAACGAAGAAGGAAAAGATCTGATCAGTCAATCATGTATCACGACTGTGATACCAGCATAACAAACTACATGTGGGAGTTCAATACAGAGGGAATGGGACTACGAGAGACGAACTGTACTGATATGGTGTACGCTGGACCTTACACCAAACAAGCACAGAAGACTATGACTTTTATATACATCAAACAAGCACAAGAGCCTACACTAGCATATACACCAAAGCTCCCGCTACCAGAGCGAGCGAGCCTGACCGAGGATGATGGGTGTCCATTTCTACTGACAAATACGCACGGTTACAGCGGAAGGCATTCATATTCATCGCCAACGCTTACTATCCGATGCTGTGGGTATCACAACGAGAACCTCATAAAGAGAAACCGTATGTCCTCAGTATAATAGCACTTGGGGACGCAATACACGGGAGTTGTTTCGATCTTTCACGATTGGTGTACAGGTGATCAGTTCTATTTATCTGCCCTTTCACCTCCCATCACACGAAATAATTTAGAAAAAAAAATACAGCGAAATCACGGCAGAGAGTACTGTCGCGCTGCTCGTACTACTGACTCTGTCTATATGTGCATAACATATATATTATAGGCATACACAACAATCCGCAGTATAATTGTATTGGCGACTACACGGCAGAGAAAACTGCCTCACAGCTTGTACTACTGACTCTGTCTATATGTGCATAACAAATATATTCCAAGCATACAAAACAATCCGCAGAATAATTATAAGTGACGACTACACGGCAGAGAGCACTGACTCACAGCTTGTACTACTGACTCTGTCTATATGTGCATAACAAATATATTCCAGGCATATACAACAATCCGCAGTATAATTATATTGACGACTACACGGCAGAGAACACTGACTCACAGCTTGTACTACTGACTCTGTCTATATGTGCATAATAAATATATTCCAAGCAGACACAACAATCCGCAGTATAATTATATTGACGACTACACGGCAGAGAGCACTGACTCACAGATTGTACTACTGACTCTGTCTATATGTGCATAAAAAATATATTCCAGGCATCAAAACAATCCGCAGTATAATTATATTGACGACTACATGGCAGAGAACACTGACTCACAGCTTGTACTACTGACTCTGTCTATATGTGCATAATAAATATATTCGAAGCAGACACAACAATCCGCAGTATAATTATATTGACGACTACACGGCAGAGAGCACTGACTCACAGATTGTACTACTGACTCTGTCTATATGTGCATAAAAAATATATTCCAGGCATCAAAACAATCCGCAGTATAATTATATTGACGACTACACGGCAGAGAACACTGACTCACAACTTGTACTACTTGATCAATCGCAATCTACCTCTACTAATCCAGGATAAACCAAAAACCAAAAATAATGATATCCCGAGGTTGACCATACTCGCGCGCACACGACCGAGAATACGATTTCTCAGCGTCCACGACACAGCCAATTGCAATACAACCCTGAGTGCGACTACACAAGCGACTATACCACCCAGAATACGACTTCTCACCCTTTGATCCCAGTGTAGCATTTGACTTACCTTTCGATGCCGTCAGGGCCTTTTCGGCCCAATACACAGCACTGGGAAGAAGCCGTCTGTCTTGGCACTGTTTCCGTGTTCGCCTGAGCTTAGCCACTACCCTTGGCACATCACTCGAAGCCGCATCAGCCCCAGGACCAGCCGCTATACTATCACTGCCAGTGCCCCGGCACTCTTCTCCGAAGTCTCCGTTCCGATTCTCAAGGTTTTCGTTCTTGCCCATGGAGCTCGAGCCTTGGTTGTTGAACCCATCGGTAGTATACTGGTTATGGCTGACGCTGGTACTACTATGATGATGCAGTGCTCCTTGCTTGCCCTTGCATGTACTGCTATTCCTGCTGAAGCTACTGTCACTGTGCTTTGTACCGCTGGCAGCAGAATTAGCAACCAGCCGTCCACTGGTGCCAAACGCGCTGGCGTCTCTCAGGTAGCCACCAAACCCCATATCCACAGGACTGACAACCCCAGCATGCACACTCCTACTTGCACTTGTACGTTGTTGTGAATGCAAATGCGTAGGCGTGTGTGCATTCGTATGTGGTTGTGTATGTGTGTGTATATTCGGTGTATTCACACTTGCGTGTGCATGTATACGTGCGGGTGTGTGGGGGCTACCAGTCTCCCTCTCCCGTTCTCGTTCGCGTTCCACATCGAGATTCGCCCCGCTAAAACTTAATCTAATATTCGAACGTGGTTGTGTATGTGCATACGTACGTGTGTATGTGTCCATACTTCGTCGTGTGCATAACTCCTTATCTTCGAATCCAAGCCCTGGTAAGGACGTCCGTGTCGAGCTTCCATTGGCATTTGCACTCGCACACGCATTGGAATCGGCATCAAGGCTCGAGCGGCTGTGAGATGCAGACATCGTGCTAGAAGATAGAGTGTGTACACACACACATATATATATATATATATATATATATATATAAATATATATATATAAATGTATGTGTGTATGTGTATGTGTATTTGTGTGTCTATGTGAGCAATGTTGTAGCTGTATGGACTACTTATACAGGCGGATACTCAGCAATTATGCTCGTACTCCCAGAAGCCTATTTACTAAGTGGTGAGAACATACTTATTCATCCAGTTATCTGTTTCGCACGGCTATATATTCTTATTACAGCTTCGCGTGAGTGCACATAATATAACGACCGATATTATTTACGCGGTACAAACCACAAGCGATGCTGTCCAATTCAGACGTACACGTATACACGAAAATGTAGTGGTAGTATGGTATAGACGGTATCAGTACATATACGTAGGAATATATTATAACAAATCTAATACAAAAACATGCACGTCAAAATGCATGTACTAGCAGCCTTATTTATTTATTCTTTACTTTTATCATGTCGCTATGTATAAATCACCGACTTTCCAACAACGGTCGGTAAAATTTCGCCGGGGTATATTACGAACCAATAGAATAACAGCATTCAGAGGAGAAAACACGTTACGTATGTGTGTGCAAATACGATACTTTGTGGTGTAAAGCTGTAAATATCAATACATATATGTGTTCACTCTCTCTATCAGGCTTAAAGTGTGACGTGAAAGAAAACAAACCAATATGAATATTTGTGCACAAATTATCGACGTATGGAGTATGTGATGTGTACGTACACACACGGCTCATACGAGCAAACACACACACGTGTGTGTACACATTCACATGTACACACATAAATGTGTACACACACACACACGCACACGCTCACACACAAACGTACACACACACACAGAGAGAGAAACACACAGACACACAGACACACATAAACGCAGACACAGACACAGACACAGACACACAAACACACACACACG